ATGTTTTTACTGTTGTTTTTGCTCACTTTTACTCCTGAAAGCAAGATTCTGTGTGTGTTTGATAATCTTTGATTGTCAACTGATATTTTCTTTTTTTTTAAAGTATTTTATTTATTTATTTGTCAGAAAGAGAGGGAGAGAGCACAAGCAGGGGGAGCAGCAGGTAGAGGGAAAAGCAGGCTCCCCACTGAGCAAGGAGCCCAATGTGGAACTTGATCCCAGGGCCCTGGGATTATGACCTGAGCCGAAGGCAGATGCTTAACCAACTGAGCCACCCAGGCGACCCTCAAGTGATATTTTCTTGATATGTGAGAATACTGATGGTCTATTTGTTTTTGTTTTTGTTTTTTTTTTTGTAAGAGAGAGAATATTTTCATTTAATTCTGCTAAGTTCCAGAAGCCAGTACTATGCCATGGAAAGTTTCAGAAAGTTCCAAGTGCCCCAATAGTTAGATAAAGTGGTGGTAAAAGATAAACCTTGAATTTTAATGGCTTATGATGGTATTTGTAATTGTTTTTATATATAAAAATATAGATATGCAAAATATAGCATACAAAGTATCATATTTGTATTTAGAATGTACAAAAATACAAAAAAAATAAATTTTGTTTTATAATATGTTTATATAACTATATTATATTTGTCTATATTATTTCTCACTCATGCTGTTTGTTTTTAATGGGCAACTCATTGACTGACTAAAGCATATCTTGTTCTTACCTCAAGATCTAGGCCATCTGGAATGCTGCTAGTCACTAGGAAAGAGGGAAAGCTATCTAGCTAATTGTATATAATTTCTGAAAGTTTTTTCCTAGAGATCATACAAATCACTTCAACTCTCATTTTATTGTCCCAAGCAGGTTCCATGGATATATTTCATATAAAAAACTGAAGTGTGCTTCCAACATCCTCCTTTCATTACTTCCTGATTTTGTTAGGTTTAACGTTTATTCTATGGTTCTAAGATTTACACTGAATTTCATAACTAAATTTTCCATTTTCTTCAAATCTTAGTTTTATATCTAAGTGGATTTCTTTTTTTACCACCAGTGCTTTCCAACTGTGGCTTCTCAGTTATTGAGATCTTAATTTTGATTCATCTTTTTTTTCCCTTGCATTTCATAATCAAAATTTTAAGACAGGCTTTTGGACTCTATTTCATGGTTTCCTGCATATTCATGAATTTATTTCTTTTATACTAAAATGTCAACTTGACTGAATATAAAAAGTCTTGAGTCACGCTTCTTTTTCATATGTACTTCATAAATATTTCACTCATTTTTAACATAGGATCCTGTGCAAATGCCTAATGTCATTCATATTTTTCTTTTTTCCATGATTTGTCCCCTGGATGCCAATAAGATGCTTTTAATTTTTTTTAAAGGTTTTATTTATTTATTTGAGAGAGAGATAGAGAGAGAACACAATCAGGGGGAGGGGCAGGCAGAGGGAGAGGGAGAAGCAGGCTCCTCCCTGGGTTGGATCCCAGGACCCTGGGATCATGACCAGAGCCAAAGGCAGATGCTTCATGACTAAACCACCTAAACCTTTGGATTTTTAAATATGTGTTTTATGTTCATGTATTACTGTGTCCTGTTCTCATAATTGGTATTACTGAGTATATGTTCTGTTCTCATATTTAGTAACAACAATTATGCATATATTGTATTTCCTTTCTCTTCAATATCTATGATTTGATCTGTTTTATTTAGTCTTTCTTTATCCAACTTGTATTTGATTCTCTCACTTTTGTTCTTATGTCCCAAAATATAGAATACAAATGTGTATGTATATATGTATACACTGCTTCTAACGTTGATTTCTATAATTTTTTTAAAGATTTTATTTATTTGACAAAGAGATAGAGAGCACAAGTAGGCAGAGAGGCAGGCAGAGGGAGAGGGAGAAGCAGGCTCCTCGCCGAGCAGGGAGCCCGATGCGGGGCTCGATCCCAGGACCCTGGGACCATGACCTGAGCCAAAGGCAGCGGCCCAACCAACTGAGCCCCCCAGGCGCCCCTGTAATTGTTTTATCTCACATTTTTTTCTGAGTCTGTGATCTTATTTCACATTTCTAGTCTTACTAATTTTTTTCTTCATTTTTTTTTAATTCGTTTGAACTCAAGAAGACTTGATTAATTAGAAACTAGCTTCTGATTCATGGTAACTTTCTTCTAGTGTTATTTTCCTTATAAGCTTTTCTCTTCTTGCATTTCTCTTTTCCTACTCATTTAATTTTTTATTTATGTGTATGTCATTTATTTCTGATTTTAATTTTAAATAGGGCATGTTTACCTGGTTCATATATTTGCTGAAATTAATTATGGATGAGACGTTAAAGCTGAAGTGCCAGAAGTTTAGGACACACTTTCACCATCTCTGTTTTGTCATCTCCTCGAGGGAAGTCTCCTCTCATTATTTACCTTTCTCATGTCTTGAGCAGAAAGTCTTCAGAGTTTTCACAGGAAAGCCCTATGCTCCAGGTGTCTATGATGTATTTACCAGCTATTTATTTTTGCCTGGCTTTGATTAGCTATCACCAAGATGACTCTCTTCTTGTCCACTTTCTGAAAAGATGACATATTTACGTAGCTTCTTATTCAGCCTTCCTTACCTCATCAGCCTTGCTTTAGAGCACCTGTATTCCACTCACACCTTCCAAGTAAGGTTTCCTCGATCCTTTCAGAGCTGTGTCGTCTACTTTGAGGGAACTCTGCACTATTTAAAGTATCTCTAGAACTTTGTACTTGCTCCTGACACCTTCTGCCATTTTGGTCCCAATAATTTTTTTTTTTTAATTTCTATTTGGAGACTGTGATTTGGGCTTTGACTGTCCCTGTGTCCCATTGAAGATATAGCAGCCTTCGTTTTTTATATTTGATTGTTGTTTCATTTGCCATTTAGAAGAAAACAGATAAAATTACGGAAGGGAAGAATGCTTAGTTTACTGAAGTTGGATAAAACTGGTCAGTAAAAATATTTCTAATTGCTTATCTTTTAAAGCCTGTTTTTATTATAAAATGTTTTACATTTTTCTATGGGATCAGGTGGTATGATGCTTTGTGGTGAGTGTGTAATTACTGCAGAATGCAAAATTTGGGACCTGAACATGGAATATTGGTGCATGCCAAGAATTTGAAAATTAACATCCAAACAGCAGTGGAATTTGCTGAAAAACAAAATGTAAAGTTGTTACATCACTTAGTCTTATTAGGAAATCATTCTGATATTGGGCCAAAAACAACTAGTAATTATTCATAGCATCATTGAGGAGGTTGCCATATGTGATATAAATATACTTATTAGTTAGGAATTTTTTTGGGTACAAGTGATAGAAATTCAGTTGAAACCATCTTAAGTAAAAAGAGAATTTATTGATTCCTATGACTGGATATTCTTAAGAGTGGTGCTTTCTTTGTCTTGTGTTGCTGCAAAATGCTGGTTATTTTTAAGCCATTCATATGAAGAACACATGTTGTTCCTAGTTAGAAACCCCAGCAGAAAGAGAATTTCTTGGTCCCAATATCCATACATGAAAGAGTCCTCTTTCCTATTGTCCATACTGCTTGACCCAACTTGGATCATGTCCATGCAGGTATGTGAGAATGGGTGGTAGAATCCCACCATGATCAAAGCATGTGCAGAGTCACTGAAGTTTATTCTGTTTTGTTTTGAAAGGGATTAGGGGAAAGAAGAAACCATAAGACTGGTCTATTTCAGTGATCTTTATTCTTTAGCTGCAGATTGAAAAACCAAGGATCCAGGGTATTTACCCTTGTAGCTCCAAGTTTTGTAGGAAATCCTAGGTTTAAAGATGTTCTGGTGGAAGTGAATGAACTAGGCCCCAGAGCTTCTGCAATCATCTTAAATCACGGGGAGAAACATGGAAGGCAGGGCAATTAAATGTAGAGGAACTGAGTCTTTTGTGACATCATATCACTATATCATGTCTTGGCTAAAGCGGCTCTTCCTCTGATTTTCTCCATATGTGAGATAATAGATTTCTTTAGTTTTTAAAAGGCATTGTAGATCAGTTATTGTTACTAATAAACCAAAACATGGTAAGTAATATAGCAGGACATTTTGAGCCTTAGCCTTCACTAATAGTGTCAAAATCTCCTTTTCTGAGAATTAAAAATCTACTAATCTGGACATACATTCACCTTAATGTTCTTCCTATAATGCCTATTGTTGTTTCTAGAATCTTCCCCCATATAGGATATTCACATTTCACTTTTGACTTGACTTGTTGACTTGGTTCTTCCTTCAGAGTCCAATTCAGCTTCTGCAGTAACTCTAATATGGATTTCTTTATTATTATTTAGTGATGATTTGGGCATTTGTATTTTCTCTCCTATTTGATTCATTCCTTCTTATTAGCTCTCACATGACTCCAGCATAAATAAATGATCTACCTTCTAGTTTGTTCTTTCTTTCTTTTCTTTTTTTTTTTTTTAAAGATTTTATTTATTTGACAGAGAGAGACACAGTGAGAGAGGGAACACAAGCAGAGGGAGTGGGAGAGGGAGAAGCAGGCTTCCCGCTGAGCAGGGAGCCTGATGCGAGGCTTGATCCCAGGACCCTGGGATCATGACCTGAGCAGAAGGCAGACGCTTAACGACTAAGCCACCCAGGCGCCCCTAGTTTGCTCTTTCTAAGTGACTGAGTTCACCTAGGAACTGGGCATCAGTCCTTCTTCTGTGATTGGGTTTATCAGGGAGCTGATCCTCAGCAAGATTTTTAAACATTGAAGAATAATGGGAAAGAAGGAACAATTGGTGGGAAAAATAAAAATCAAAGCTTTTTGAATTTATTACTTTCACAATCTTGATCCCATTTGACCCATGTTCTAGTATGTTAAACTATGGGTAAATTATATTTGAAGTGTTGCTTGGGTAAAACAGGTAAGTCATAGAGAAATCATGGCCTTATACAATTTAGTAGTTAACTACTAGGAAACTAATCTATTAATGATATAGGAAATTAGTTGAAAAACTCACTTTTGGCTGTCTGGTCATTAACATCTGATGCATTCAGCTTTTCTGTACCACAGTGTGCAACTTGGTGATTTTCCCAGGGCTCAAGTCCAAGCGAAGCCCATAGGCTTTTAGGCAAAAAGACCAGAGCATAAATTAGAGTTGTTTCTTATTTATGTTTCCTAAATCTGAGTGAATGCCTTGTTAAAAATGTTAGTCCTAATGTATATATCATATACATTATATCATATATTGTGTTTCTGCATACTAATCAGTATTTCAATATATTTTGTATTGATATTTGAGTAGGAGGTGATGAACTTTCCTCTTAATTATTGATTTGGCTATGACATTTCCAGATTGCTTTTTGCCATATCCTTATTTTCTGCAACTGTAAGGTTTGCGTGGACCCAGTGTAAAAATTGCATTACTCATTTAGCTCTGTAGCACATGTTCAGCTTGTTGCATCTGAACTCAATATGGTGCATATTTTTTTTCTGCTCTGCATGTGAATATAATTCAAGATGCTTGTTTTAATTTTAAATGCCTACATGATCTGGCTTCTAACTAGAGAATATTTAAGGTGCTTTTCTGATTATTCATATTTATTATTTCCATGGGAGTTCAGAAGAATCACTGAACAGCCAGATTTTTTTCTTTGTAACTTTAGTACATTATATGTTGTTTCAATTGCTCTGAGGATACATACTTTAGTTTCTCTCTTAAAAGGTAATCAAAGCTGTTCAACCAGTTGTGTGAAATTTGAAAAGCATAATTAAATTCATTAGTTGCTAAACAGCAAAGATGAGTTTATATTAAGAAAAAGACTTCTAAATGTGTGGATGCCTACATTTAGGAAAACACATGTAATAAAAATGACAAATTATGTGGTGAACACCATTCTAAAATATTTAGGTGTATTAATGGACTTGATCCTCCAAAAATAAGCACTCTAATTATTCCATTACGTAGAAGGGGAAAATGAAGCACAGTGAATAAATTGCTCAAGGTCAAGCAGCAAATAAGTGCCAGTGTCAGGTTCTAAATCTAAGCAGTCTAGAATCAGAACTTGTATATTTGATCACAAAGAATACAGCTTTCCAGGTAGTTGGACGGATGGATTGGGAAGCAACGGGGCCAGGTGTAAGGGGAGGCAAAGAGTAAGGGAAGGTTTTAGGTCAAGCTCTACCCACTGCTGGAATTCAGAGCCTAATTGCAGCAAAGGATTTACTAAGAATTTGTGTGTGTGTGTGTGTGTGTGTGTGTGTAAAAGGTAGGATACAATTTTTGTACCCTTCAGGTTAGAGTGATCTAAGGGTGAAAGGGTAGCATTTTCACTGAAAATGAGATACATTTTAGCTCACTACTTTCCAACGATACATGCATCATGTCAAATGAAGTAGTCCAATCTCAGAGAACTAAAAAAAAGGTGAAATCATGAATAATATGTCACCTTTACATGTCACCCTCTTTAATGATATATCTTTAGCTTCAGTGATATATCTCATATTCTATAATTTTGTTCTTTTCCTGAAGACTGAAAATAGAAAGCTAAAGTGAGCTAAACAGCTGCTGCTTACGGCCACACCTCTCGATTTCCACTCTTTTTTCAATCTCTAAGTATGAATATCCAACATCTTGTCATTAGTATCAGTATTTGCAATTTTCAAAATTTCATTCTTGTTTTTGTATAATAGAAAAATGTATAGTAAATGCTCATTTTTTAAATAATTTGTACACTCAAACTGTACAAATCAAGATGGTAATGACCACAGAGTCGCCATTTAATATTTTGAAGTGGAGCTACATGAAAATAAATAAAAATCTAAATTTGGTATATAAAGGTAATATAATTAATGTTTACAACATATGTAGGTAAATAAAATATGTGAATGTCAAGGATCTTATGTATTCATATATACCAGTAACCACAATGTATCTAATGCTGTTGTGAATTAAAAAACTGTGAAAATTTTCTAATCTTTTTTGACTTGTTATGTACTGTGTTTGCACCATCATGTTATTTGCAATGAAAACTACTGTTAGCTTGTGGCCTAGGGACATTGCATAATAATCAGGAAAATTGGACTTCCACATCATTTATACTGAAGTGGCTGCTGAGTGACTTATTTTAGCTTTTTTCCTTTTTTTGCCTCTGTTTAATCATCTTCAAAACGAGAAGAATATCTATCTAGTCTGTTAATATAAAATGCTGTCAAATTATTATACATTTTAAACTAAAGAGTCTGGGGTCATTTTGAATACTGGAATGAACAGATAGTAATTTTATATTATAAGTTGTTGGTATATTATAGAAATAATACAGAAATCACCTCAAGTTTTTCTCCTTACAAATTAAATTTCTAAATCAGAGGAATCAATAAAGTCAATGACAATATTTCAGTGCAAGAAAAACCATTTCAATTACTATGACCATACCTTATATGCTTTTTTCCTTCATGAAAACATTACTGTATTTCTCAAATCAAACCCTGCATGAGAAAGAATCTATTACATCTCAATATAAGGCTCTGACAAATGCTTTTTAAATCTTCATGCCTTACTTAGTTTTGTGTGACACGTGCACATGCATACATATACAATCATTTAAAAACAATGTCTAAATGCACAATGCAATTTTCCCAGATTGTAATGGAAAAATCTAGGTAATTACTTGAACAAACCTATCCCCCCCCCTTTTTTTACCCTTCCTTACTTTCCTTTCTTGTTTTTTATCATTCAGCAAACTTTGTTTTCACGTCCATACTATTACACCAGGCACTACTCATGCTAGCATGACCAACAAGGTCCTTACCCTTACAGAGCTTACATCGTGTTGGGAATGGAGGGGCAAGGAAAAAATAAAACAAAGAAATAAACACAATAAAGTTAGATACTGTTAATATTTTAAAGAGATATTTGAAATTGGTCATAGAGTAGTTTGATATAACAGAGAGTGACTAGGTAGCATTTTTGTGTTGGGTGAGTAGGGAAGTTTTCTATGATGAAGTGATAAAGAAATTATAAGGCAGTTGTGGGAAGAGGGAAAGAAAAATATCAGGACAAACAATTGATGGGAAGTCCCTCAGGTGGAAAAGAAGGTAATTGAGGCTGAAACAAAGTGGATCAGTAGGGAATTAATAGGGCAATTTTATAATTCTATTTCATAATTTAGATTACCAACTGGTAAACATAAATATCTACTGGTCTTGACCATAAACCTTCTCTCTCAGCTATATTAGGAAGAGTATGCATTTGGAAGACACAAAATCAAGGTTTTGAATCTTGGCCTGGCACCTTGTAGCTGCGCGATAACATCTTAGCCTGTTTTCCCTTCCTTTAAATTTGGACAATGTTATTTAATTTTCAGAATTGTTGCAAAGCTGACTCGATATATGCCACATAGTAGTTACTCACACTGTAGCTATTCATTTTCAAATATTTCAAGCTCTGATGCTTGACAAAGCTATGACCTCATCCATTCATACATGTAGCTTCTCATTCCCTTACTAGTCATCCACTGATCAACAACAACTGTGAAAAAGGCAAAGTGGTAGCTGTCATTCCTTGCTTTAGCAGGCTAGGAGATGACAAGGGTCAGGGCTGAGGGATGATCATGAACAAGGTGCCCTCTCTATCAATAAGCAGGATTTGGGACACTACCAACATAAGGATCCAAGATAAAAACTGGAGTTTTCCCAACCTGCTGGAGGTTTTTCCTCACCAAAAGTGAATAATGAAGAATAATGTGGGTGTTATTCCTGGATTACTGTAGAAGAACATGCTTCAAAGTTATTGAAGCACATTTGGCACTAAATAGTTCTCCCTCTGCCTCTATATTCTCCCTCCAAAAACTCGGTCAAGTGAAGATGGTTTAGAAGCAGATACATGGAAATATGTATTACTGTTAAGAATGATGCTGAGTAAGATGTGCATTTAGAGGTAGCTATGAGAAGAGGGAAGAAAGCAAAAAGGAAGATCACAGAGGGTATTACTACTAATACAACAGAATGTCACCTGTCTCCTGACAGGTTTCCATTATAAGGTTTGCATTCACATTTCACCTCTCAGCCAAGTTTTATTTTTAGAATGACAAACAACCCCAGAAATATTGGGTAAATAATGTTAAGTATTGGCATAGCTTCTTATGAAGTCTCCAAATGGCCTTCCCCTATGCTACTTTACCTGTGCCTTTTTTCAGGTGGAATTTGTGAATCAAGTATGGTATTCTGCCTTTTCATTTTCTCTCTACTGCTTCTTCTTTTCAATGTTACTGAAATAGAAATGATTCTGCTCATGTAGCTGGACATGCTTAGAATATAGGACGGGCTTTGTTACCTCTTTGCCCCTGTAGACAGAATCTATTTGAGCTTGAATCAAGGGTCACAGAATAAAACTAATCAAGAATATAGAGAAACACATGTCTCTATACTCTGGTGGGAGAAACTGAATTCCCTCTGGATTTGTGCCCAGCTCGCTAATCCATCCCTTCTCCCTGGACTCCTTTGTGGGCTCCATCTCCGCACGACTCCGCTCACAGTACTAAGGGTCAGGTGTATTTATTCATCCTCTGTTGCAACAGCCACCTCTATACTGATGCTCCCTAATTAGCTATCTCTGGACAAAAATTTGCTCCTGGTATTAAAACTCACATATCCAAACTTTCTTGACTCCTCCATTTGACCTTCTGCTGATGGCTCCAAGTGTAATAATTTGCTCACTCAAACCTATTTCTGTATTCGCATCTTGCCCAACAGTACTACTTGTCACCTATTTACTCATTCTCAGAGCCTAGAGAGTATCAATGCTTCATTCTCCATTAACTTTCACAGTCTCTCAATTATCAAGTCCTGTCAGTACGGTCTTCTGAATTTCCTATAGATCTGTCCTCTACTTTCCATCTGCAAAGTAACCGCTGCCTCATTTCAGACAATTGGCAAAGCTCACCTGAACTACTGTATAGCTCGTAAACGGTCTCCATTCTTCCACTCTTGTCTCCCTCACCAGTCAGTTATATACACAGCGACCATGTGATCGTTGTCACTTTCTGATCTAAAATCCTCAGAAGATTCATTACTGTGTTCAGTTAAAACCCACACTTTGTTGGCATGGTACCCAAGGCCCCTCCAGATGTAGTTCTTAGTAAATGGTTGCCAATCTTCCTGCTGATTTTTCTCCCTCCCTTTCTGCTCCCTCCTCATGTAGGCACCCACCCTGAGATCCAACTACACGATACTTTTGCACTTGCTGGAATCTGCCATTACTTTTTCTTTTTCTTTTTTTTTTGGTTTATTTATTTATTTATTTATTTATTTATGAGTAATCTCTACACCCAACCTGGGGCTTGAACTCACAACCCCCAGAGATCAAGAGTCACATGCTCTTCCGACATAGACAGCCAGGTGCCCCTGCCATTGCTTTCTTATGTTAATTATCTGTACCTGTATATTTGCTGCTGCTTCTGCCATCACTTACTCACTCACTCATTTTTTTTCATCCCTTAGTATAGACCAGAATTAGATGTCTCTATGTGCTCCTTAGCAACAGAGCAGGGAGTGTTAATTACTAGTGTGACCTTTCACATTCTAGTATGGCTATTGGATGGTCTGTCCTCCCACATGTACTCCTCCTCCTCTCACCCTTTAGACCATGAGAAGTTCAAATCATAGTAACTACTTAATAAATATTTGTTAAAAAATAATTGAAAACATGTTTTCTTCAATCTGAGATGTTATGTAGCTAAATGATGCTATCAGAATAGATGTGGAATACGCTTTTTCTGCCTCCACAGATGAAGCATCTATGAAGTGTGTAGCCTAACTATAGAAAGTTGCTTTTTTCTTTTAAAAATTCATTCTCAAATAGCTTTTACAGGGTAAGTAGACATAATCATTGATAGTTTTGAGAATTTTGTCAAAAAATGATATATGTTATATGCCCATGCTTTTTAGTTTTAGGTAAAAACAAACAAACAAAAACCTCATCATATTCTATGATTCCAACTATGTTCATTATTCACAAGATAATTATCAATAAATTTTTTTTGTTAATAAAATCATTCTTCACTCATGGGAATGAATCTTTTCTTTTTATATTTAAATATTAGCATAATCATCAAAGTACAGAAATCAAAACTTTAAGAATTTTTTTCTTATTGAAAAAAAGGAAGAAACTAGAAGATATTCTCGAAAGTATTCTTCAGAATAGAGCTACCATATGATCCAGCAATTGCACTACTGGGTATTTACCCCAAAGATACAAATGTAGGGATCTGAAGGGGTACGTGCACCCCGATGTTTATAGCAGCAATGTCCACAATAGCCAAACTATGGAAAGAGCCAAGATGTCCATCGACAGATGAATGGATAAAGAAGAAGTGGTATATATATACAATGGAATATTATGCAGCCATCAAAAGGAATGAGATCTTGCCATTTGCAACAATGTGGATGGAACTGGAGGATGTTATGCTGAGCGAAATAAGTCAATCAGAGAAAGACATGTATCATATGACCTCACTGATATGAGGAATTCTTAATCTCAGGAAACAAACTGAGGGTTGCTGGAGTGGTGGGGGGTGGGAGGGATGGGGTGGCTGGGTGATAGACATTGGGGAGGGTATGTGCTATGGTGAGTGCTGTGAATTGTGCAAGACTGTTGAATCACAGATCTGTACCTCTGAAACAAATAATGCAATATATGTTAAGAAAAAAAAAAGAAGATAGCAGGAGGGGAAGAATGAAGGGGGGGAAATCGGAGGGAGAGACGAACCATAAGAGACAATGGACTCTGAAAAACAAACTGAGGGTTCTAGAGGGGAGGGGGGTGGGGGGATGGGTGAGCCTGGTGGTGGGTATTAAAGAGGGCACATTCTGCGTGGAGCACTGGGTGTTATACACAAACAATGTATCATGGAACACTATATCAAAAACTAATGATGTAATGTATGGTGATTAACATAACAATAAAAAATTTAAAGAAAAAAGTATTCTTCAGAAAAAAAAATTAAATCTAGAGAATCAGTCTTCTTCCTTATCCTCATTCTTGATACCTTCTACTCCATCAGCATAATATATCAGAAGATTTTTGGTGAGTACTCTTTTGTTAGTGTGGGACCAAGCTAGTCTATTGCTCTGATCTACACTAGATGTTAATTAAGGGGCTTAAGAAAACCATTGAGTAAGGTGCAAAATTGTGATGTATAGAACCACATTTAAAATTGTTTCTAAAAATTGAGTGTCATGTTATGGTAGAATGAAAGCTTTCATACGCATAGAGAGAAAAAGAGTCTATGAAATGGGATATTAAAAGAGCACAGTGAAAAAAGGAAACCAAGATAAAAAGAGTGAGAGAGGAAAATATATTTTAACAGCAGGAATGACATGACATGACATAAAAAAAAAAACAGAATAAAAGTGTAGAAAGACAGGTGGGAGAACTAAAAGTCAAAATTAACAACAAAAAAATAAAATCTGCTTAAAGAAAAATGAAAAGAAAATATAAAGTAGAGCAAAAGGATCTTTCAATTATAAATTTAAGTTTCAGTGCCCAAATATTGTTTTATTTTAAGGATGTCAGGATAGTATTTTTTATATTGCATTATTTTTAGAATTTTCTTAAATTTAGAAGTGTAAGATTCTTCACTTTGACAATGTGAAAGCACACAGAACATCAGTGTATCATTACTGCAGTGGTCTCCAACTGGTTTGGCTTGGCACATCACGATACTTTGTACCATTTGTATCCATAACAGCTGGGCTCTGACACTATTAGCTGAGCAGGATTTTAGTTATTTATTTAAAATTTTTTTCTTTTTAATGCATTTGCTTCCTCCTAAAATGTTATCTGGGTACTTGGAAGCCAAATAATTAAGTCTGTGACAATAAAATAAGGGTCCACAGCCTTTTTTAAAGTAAAATGTTATTGCTTTACTCTCTAACCTCCAGCTACTCAGGAGTCTAACACTCAATTTTTTTCTTTTCTAGTGTCCTTTTTTTTTTTGAGTCTGTTACTGATATTAAATATTTTAGTTTTATGCCAAATGTCTAAAGGCAGACTATTAAAAATATTAACCTGGATTATTAAACAAATAAACTTCATAGAGTTATCATAATGGCAGATGATAAGCTCCAAAATATAAACCCGATATTTTCTACCCCCACCCCCAAACTAACAATGTAGTGATATAACTTTCTCATTTGGCAAAGTGATTACCAAAGTTCATGAGAAAAAAACATAAACAAATACATAATTCTGGAGCTACAGTAAATGTGAAAAAAATACTAATTTTCTAGGTTTAAAAGCTTTTAATGCGTCTCAACACAGATTTGCTGAGATTTTGCTATTACGAAGGTACTATGCTAGAAAGATAAGCCACAGGCAGGGGAGGAGACCAGAATATAATAAGTACTAAAAGCAAAATACTCACAGGGGTATGAAGTGTTCAAAGGAAGGAAGTCATCACCATTAGCTGGAAGAATCTGGAAATCTAATAAAGGATATGTCATTTGAGATGGGTCAGATTTGGAAGATAGAGAGATAGGGTATGACTACTTTATTTCTACTGTGATTCTTCAAGTTTAGGTACTCATCCTATTTTATCTGGTATTATCTTTTTGCTGATTTCTTCTTGCATTTCCAACTTTGTGTCTAAACCCTCCACCACGTGAACTGACTGAGAATTAACCATACCAAATTAACCCGTCTCCTGAATAAACCAAACATTTTTTTCAAATCACTTTGCCCCCCCCTCCTACTATTCTCCCTGCTCGCTTCACTGCTTTCTTCCCTCACCTTACATAGGTTGCGAACGAATATGGAAGGTTTTGTTCACTTTCAACATCTTTCTTGACCCCCTCCATGAATTAAGTGTGTTATCTCACGGGGACTTACAAATCTCTTTATCTGAGGTTTGATTACTGTGTCTCATATTAGGTATCAAGATTCCTGAGGGCATGGGGGATGGGTGGTAAAGTCTCTGTGTTTTCAGGCCCAGTGCCTCTCAGGTGGTTGTAAGTACTGAGTGTCTGCGTATACCCTGATGAAATCAGAGCTTGGCAGAAGACAATCTGCACAAACAGAACTAGGGCTTGTACAGCGGCTGATACTGTAAAACCAACTCTGGACTCTTGGATTCACTTCTTCCTCTGACAGGGTGGGCCACTAAGAGGGGCATTCCGACGGCTAAGGCCGTGCAACCTGGAAGCCGACAGCGCTACTAATAGCAGGAACAGTAATTTAACTGACACTGCTAGTACATAGTCCTCCGTGCGTTTCGATGTGCTTTCCCAGCCATCATCTAAATGTTTCTATTCAGCGGCCTAAAGTGGCCCCTTCATTCTTATCCAGAATCCGGGAAACACCTTCCTTTCTTTCAGACTGTGAGAAAAAAAGAAAAAAAAAAAGGGGGCTTTCCTGAGGCTGGGAACGGGGATTCCCTCTCCACGTTCGTGCACTTTCCACCCCGCTTACCCGAGCTGAAGGCGAGCACAGCGAAGGCGCGTGGGGCATCTGGGAACACTCCCGACACCCTGTGGTCCACGCCTCCGGGAGAAGGGTCTGGAGGCCGGGAATCCGCTAATTAGGCTCGCCCCCATTGGTTGTCCCCAAGGCACCTCCATGCCGTCATGGTGTTATGCTAATGAGGGGGAGTCTCATTGGCTCGGCCCCCGGCGGCAGCTGCGAAGGCTCTGGCGGGGAGAGCCCGGTTGGCCGCAGCTGGGACCAAACCTAAGGTCCCCCCTCGCGCCCGCTCCGGGCTGTGCCGCGTGCACGCCCGCGCGGGGACCCGCTGCCGGGATTGCCCTCGGAGGAGGCTCCTCGACCTGCCTTTTAGGAAAGTGCCTCCCCGGCCCGCGGCGCGCACGCCCCCTCCCCTCTTTCTAGGTACCGCGCGTGTTCGTTTTTTTTTTTTTTCCGCGAAGTAACTTTTGCATTCCCGCCTCCCCCGAGTCCTGGGGACCAGAGGCGGTGCCGAGCCTGGGGGCGGTTCTTTGGCAGCGTAGATTCTTGTCAGAGCCAGACTTTTGCTCCTGGGCTCGGTTTGCATCATCCCCATCACACCCTCTGGAGAGAGGAGCCAGCCCCCTTTCAGCCTCAGCTTCCGGCACGGAGCCGACCCCTCCCTCTCCCAGGCCCCTTCCCCTTCCCCGTCCCTCTGTGGCCCCCCGCATCTTGTTAGTCCTCTCCCTCCACTCCGCAGAATTTTCTGTCTCTCTTCCTCCTCTCCTCCATTCGTCGTTTTATGTTTCCCACTCTTTGAGGAAGGATGGTTGATTTGGAGAGCGAAGTGCCCCCTCTGCCTCCCAGGTACAGGTTTCGGGATTTGCTGCTAGGGGACCAAGGATGGCAAAACGACGACAGGTGAGTGGTGCGGTGCAGTCTTGCTCTGGCAGTACAGCTGAAAATGAGAGAGATGGGGAGGCTGAAGGGGGAAAAGGGGAGAAGAAAAAGGGAGCCTGAGACTGGGGGAGGGAGTGAGAGGGACTCTTTGACATGTCTCTCCATTTTGACTGTATAGAGCAATTGCCATAGACAAGGAGCTCTTCCTTTTCATTTTCTTATCCTTGCGAGGCATTTATTGCATTTATTGGGTACTTACCCTTTTTTCTATCTGCGCTTTCTTAGGGTGTGTATAAGGCTGCTAGAGAGGTACAATACATCCAAATAGCACGCAGTGTCAGTGCCATATAATTTTCATTTTTTCCCTTTAGGTGTCCTTCAAATTTGAAAATGTGTCCAAGTTGATTGAAAAAGCACATAAGAAACTTAAAATCTCTTGCACCTATTTACTTACTCCTTGTCAGTGTTGTCTTGTTAAGGTGTTCACCTGTTACTGGGAATTTTATTATGCTCTTTAAACATTTGGAGTTATAGATAGACAATTGGTTTAAATATGTAACAGGTAGTTAGGGAAAATGACCTTGTCAACTGAAAATACTCACTTTGAACTGGTAACTGTGACTGTGATTAGTAATTGTGTTTGTATAGCATGACCCAACCTTTTTGCAGTTAATATATTTTTAACCTAACTAGTATATATGTCACAAGATTAAAACTAAGTTTCAAAACTATAATGCTTATTACTAGCAAAATATTGCTCATGTGTGTTATCTATAGCATCACTGCTTTGCCTAGTCGAACTTCTGAAATTCCTCTGGCTATCTGATTCATTATTTAAAAGGCACATTTTATGTTTCATTGTATTTAGTATTTTCTGGAATAGTCATTTCATGTATCACATGCCATATATTTTTGTTTTTAAATGATCTATGTATACTAACTAGGCTCTTAACTCAATTGAAATATTTCCTTTAAGTTCAGTTTGGTATTAATGTTCTATTTTAATTACATAAAATATCCATTATTGGTCCTATTCAAAAATCTCATCTCCATTCAGCTCTGGGCAATACTCTCCTTCTCTTCCTCACCATTTCAGCTCCAATACCAACTCCTGTGTCTACACACAGAGTATTTTATCTTGGGCATCAATTTTGGACTTCTTCTTTGGTCTCATATTAGTAATGTGAAGGGGTATGGATGTTTCTTAGAGGATAATATTTCAATGCAAACTCTTTTTTAAGGCAGAACACATATATTTGTTAAGAATTAAAGGAACAAATGCCAGTTTACCAGTATGCTTGGAAAGGAAGGTGTTCTGGGTGACTGAAGATAAAGAAATGAATATTTAAACAATTGCAAAGCTAGTTGACATTTAGATAAACTGTATTAGTCTGGTTAAATGGCTTATCAAATGCACCATCATGATTACAGGGATGAAATCTATATTTATTACTTCAGAACCTTAGGATCATTATGTAGAATAGGAATCCTCACTCTACAAAGTGTGAGATGGACTGAATTCACAGAGGATATATTTTGGACTTGGTGGTGATAATATTGTTTGTTTTTTAATATTGTATCCAAGATGTTAGTTGTTCTTGAGGTTCCCTTCATTTTTCTAAGGATGCTGCAGTATATTTCAGTAATTAGGAATTTTGGTTAGTTGAATACTACCCAAGTTGAATACTACCCAATGTGTAAAAAAAGTTTTACACATTTAGTTAAAATATCTATTACAATAAAAGTTAATGCTAGCCCAAGTTTAACTTAAAATCTAGGCCATATTTACTATTAAAATGAGGTATTAAACATTAAAAAATTATTCATCCATTTGACCGATTTTGTGGCTTCATGAGAACTTAATATTTAGTTTTGGTTCCATTTGTTGTCCTTCTTTGAAGACAAGATCCTTGGGTTAATAGTGATTCAGCCTTTAGTCCTTTGCTTATTTTCTCACTAGCTGAGTCTTCTTGGGCAAGTTATTTGACCATTATGAAATTCAATAATCTTATTTCTGTAAAGTACAAAACTAACATTTAGTTGGCACTAAGCACTGGCTAATCTGTTAACTATGTTAATGGTGTGTGTGTGTGTGTGTGTGTGCGTGCGTGTGTGTCTGTAAGGGTTTATGTGTGTATGTGTGTGTATTTTAGGAACTAGGAAACTAAGTTTCTGGGATTAATTAAGTGCTTATCCTGATAATATATCTTATAAGTGCACAGATGACACTTGGGTTCTGTTCTTTGTGACTCAGATTCCTCAAGAAGCTCCTAAGTTCTTTCCATTTAATTTGTTTGAATTTGTAAGAATAATTTTGCAGTATCTAGCAGAGTTTAGGTGCTCATTTAAATGATAGTTCCCTTCATTTCTGATTAGCAGTTTTCAGTTCTTTTTAAATTTTTTCTTCAGAATTCTAAATTAATGTGCAGTAACTACAGTCATTTCTTGTGTCTTTATTGTGCTCACAAATTCCTCTTTGCAACTGAGCCTGAGTAGCCTTCTTATTCGACTCAGTTATCATGGACTCAATTCCTATGGAGCTGAAGAGAAAGCATTCTTTCATAGAAGAATAGGTAGATGGTTTATACCAACAGATACATTTAGTGCTTTGTATTCTCCAGGCTATTTTCTATAAATATTCTCTGCCTGAAGTTTTTTGTTTTTTGTTTTGTCACCTCCCGCCCCTTCCCACCACCCCAGTCTCAGGGGCTCCCCAGGTCTTGGAGAGCAAGCCAAAAGTGCCACCGAGTACATGAGTAAATAAGGAATTGTTAGAGAAATACCTTAGCTTTCTAACTCCTTGGTTGGGATAATTCTGAAACACGTTGCCCACAGTTGTAATTGGTTTGATTTTACAAGTTTTATTGACTTTCTCCCCCCCTCCCCCTACTGGTATTTTCTCGGATCGGTTCCCAAATAAACTACTTATGCTCCAATCCTTATCTCAAGGTATGCTTCTGGGGGAATCTGAACCAAGATTAGATATCTTCTCCATCTAGAGTCACATCTTAGAAATGATGGAGGAATCAGCTGATGGGAAAGTACATACTTTCTACCTTGTTCTTCATGTTAAGAATTTTAAATTCAGGGACACCTGGGTGGCTCAGTTGGTTAAGCATCTGCCTTCGGCTCAGGTCATGATCCCAATTTCCTGGGATCAAGTCCCACATTGGACTCTTTGCTCAGTGGAGAGCCTGCTTCTCCCTCTTGCCCTCCCCCACTTGTGCTCTCTCTCTCTCTCTCTCACTGACAAATAAATAGAATCTTTAGTAAAATAAAGTAAAATAAAAAAAATTTTAAATTAAATCTTAATAGGGCATGATTGACTGGCATGTGAAAATGAGTAAAGCATATGTGTGAAGGAGTGTGGTGAAAGAGAGAATTTTGGTCTCTACACCATAGATTTTCTGTGAACTAACCTTGAATAGTTCACTTAAATTTATACTGTATCACCTTTTAATAGGGAAACACACATGCTTAAGTGCATATGTAATGTACATGTGACACATGTATGTATAAACTTTGTGTGTATGTATATGTGTCAATGTCATCTTTACATAATTCCCTCTCCCTGATTTGCATTCTGATAACCTTTTCTGAGTAGGACATAAAGGAACAGAGTTAGACATAGCATCGCAGAGAACTGCACATTTAGCACATGAATAACATTAGTTCTCTGAGGCCATGAAATAACCGAGAGTTGCTAAATGAGAACACTGCTAATGCCTAGAGATGTCTGTTGCACATATGACTCACATTTATTTCTTTGGCATCCTGAGTAAAACACAAAAATCTAATTCAAGTGGCTCATGAAATATTTCGTAATGGTCATTTATCCATTCAGCTAATATTTGACTACATGCTGCATCTCAGGGCCTTATTAAGTTAGGTTTTAAGAAGAATATAAGGAGGAATGTGAAGCAGTGCTGGGTCAGGAGGTGTTCACAGATAAGATTAGAGATAAGCTCCTCTCCTGAATATTGACAGTATTGTTGATGATGTTTTTGCAGAATTTCAATATTAAGATTGTCAAGAAGATCATACACCCTTTGTAGATAGGATAGTCAGTATTACTTGAAAATAAAGTAGCTGAAGTCTCTATATTAGAGATGGCTCAAAGTATTCTATATATTTTGAATCTATTATTTAGGATACTTAGTATCTTCAAAGTTCCTCTATGATTAAAACTAATATGACTAGAGACTAAATTTAACTGGTTTATATGGAAGCCATTCTGTAATATGTAGAATTGTTGCAGTGTTCACATCTATTATTTTCTGTTTTAATATTTCTATGATTCATAAAACAATAAAAATTTAGGATGTTCTCTTGCAGTTAAGTGTTGGTAAATTTCAAGTTTTAAATACCTTAAAACAGTTAGAACAAACCCTTCTCATCCTCATCATGACTTAGTAGTTTTAAAGTTTGGAACACAATGCACTTGATGTGGATAAATTGTCATGACTGTTGATAACTTCCTGTTAGTGGACAATTCTCAATTGCAGTCATACAGGAGTAGGGCTTTTATTTAGTTAACACCATTCGGTTTTCAAATATCCAGTCAGTTGTTTCAACTGCAGTAATTTTAAGTGTTATCTTTCATTTATTCTATTTCATAGAATTTATTTTTAAAGTTTACACCATTTACCCACTCTCATATTTATATCCACTTTCTGTATATGCTTATGTGTCAGTAATACCTCTTCTGTGAGTATTACACTCGTAAGTTTTCGGACTACTCTTACATATAGTCAGTCTTGAATAAGGAAGGTTGGAATGTAGAAATTTCATTTTCTGCATAAGTTGTGTGACATTTTAAGGAGATTAAACTTTCTTTCTTTCTTTCTTTCTTTCTTTCTTTCTTTCTTTCTTTTTTTTTTTGAAGAGAGGGAGGGGTACTGGGACAGAGGGAAAGGGAGAGAGAATCTTACGCAGGCATGGAGCTTCATGTGGGGCTCGATCTTATGACCCTGAGATCATGACCTGAGCTGAAATCAAGAGTCAGATGCTTAACTGACTGA